GTCAAAATGTCCTTGGGCCTCTTAGCAACATACTCTTTTTCCAAAGGCCAAAAATGTTGAAATTATTTGGGAGCTTGTATCTAACCCTTGAAAGATTTTAGGGTTACCTCTTCAGAGGGGGTAATGTTAGAGTAGCCAAAAGCCCCATAAAAAAAAAATCAGAAGAAAGAGTACATGGAGTTATCAGAAAAAAGTGATGGGGAGATATGGGAGGAGTTGAAGGGGAGGGACTGAGCATAGAGTTGATCAAAACACCTTATATGCATATATGAAATTCTCAATAAATTACAAGACTTTTTCTTGCTTTTTTTAAAAAATAAAGTATTAAAATGTAAAACTTAAAAAATGTAAAACTTAAAAAAGATAAAGGAAGAGGAACGATGCCAGCGGACCTCAGTCTTCACACATGGCTGTCCTCCTAGGCCTTCTCTAATCACAGGGGCAGAGAAAGTTCCTAGGAAATAGAGTGTAAATGCTTTGGGAGGGAGGATAGGAATAGAGACAGGAGGGTGATGATGTTGTTAGTGATGAAGAAGGCTCCAGGAAGGGAGGGTGAGCCTGCACTCACCTTCCTTGCATTCCAGTGCCACCCTGGACTCCAGGTTATCCATTTGCATCTGGAGCCGCTTGAGTGTGAGGTCGTTCTCCCGAGACTTGCGCTTGTAAGCAATGAGGACGATGATGACGATGATGAGGAGGAGGCTGCCACCAGCTGCAATGCTGACGATGGCTGGCAGGGTCAGCAAGCTGTCGGAGATGACACTCACCGAGCCAGGCGAGAACACCATCCCGCCCACGTGAACCTGTGCATTGTACACACAGATGCACACAATGCACACAGGTGTAGAGCCCTGGCATGCCATCATGTCCTTACAGTGTGAGGAAGGGATGAGACAGACCATAACCACATAGTGCATATTTGGATACAAAGCAGTGCTGCCTTGGGATCTGCCTGCCTTTTCACGGTTCCCAACTGCTACTCATTTTGACGTAGGACATGTGATGAGATATGGAGGGCATGAGTCAGGCAGTGAGGCAGAAGAGTCTGTCTTCATGCATGCACGGTGAGCCTAGGTGGAGGAAAGAAATAGAAGAGGGCTCACTCACCATGACCTTGTGTTGCCCTGTAAGGTTGGGCGGTTCACAGAGGAGCTGGGTCTCAGACACAGTGACAGCACAAGGTGTCTCTCCGATCAGTACTGTGTAGTTGAGTTTGGCCCCTCCAGAAGCAGGTGGGCAGAGGTTTTTGCCCTGTAGAGAATAACTATCTTAATAAGGATCATTGACATATGCAAACAGAAGTCAGAAGTTAATTGCCTACTTTAAAAGAGATGGGATGGACAGCAATATAAAAACCAGGAAATGACTCTGCAGCAGGTTTTTAGAGGAGGCTTCAACCACCTGCAGAGTAAAGAGACAGAAAAGCAAAGGGAGTGAAAATGGCGGTGGGGGGGTTGTATACAGGAGGGGAAGGAAGGAGAGGAAGGAGGACAAAACGCCACAGGTGTGGACTGGAGGGAGGACACGTGATTTAAGGGGACATGAGGAAACAGCAAAATTCTTGGATTCTGGCCCCAGGAGATAAGAGCCCTGAAGAGGGACGGGCCTGCAGCAGTCTCTCACCCCACTGTCTGGGCTTCACATTCTCTCTGCATGTCCCCTACCTTCAGAATGATGGGTGAGCCCGGCTTCTGATCCAAGACCCCAGTGGGGCTGAGCAGTTCAAAGGTTGGGTTGGGATAGTAGATGAACTTGGTATCATTGTAGATGAGCAAGGATTGGACATTGTTAAAGAGAAATCCAAACTCATCTGGCCGTTCCACAGTGTCCAGGCCTGGACGGTAGTCAGTGGTCAGAGAGGGTGCCAGGCAGGTGAGGGTGGTTGTGTTCACCACAGTACACACCTAGGAGGCAGAAGTATTCAAATGCTGAGCACCTGGTGGGCAGAGGTAGGCCTATCACCTCCCTCTGACCCTTCGCTTGCTTTGGCTGGTCATCTCTGAGTGACTTGCTTTTCTTCCTTCACTTACATGTGGGGGCCCTTAAGAAAAAGGTGGTGATAGAGATTGAACCTCATTCATGTAACATTAATGAACATTGCTTGAGCACCTACTTTGTGGTAGACTTTGAGCTGAGAGTTTGGTACACAGAATGAAGTCGTCTTGGGGGAAAGCTATGGATTAATTAAATGTTGGAAGCTATCTGCAGAGGGCCTGGGGCAGTATAGAGCATGACACTGAAATGCGTAGATGGACGGGAAGTACTCTAGTGTGACAAAGCAGGTGCTCTGTCTGGAGAGTCTGAGTGTGTGTGGCCCAGAGCAGGATTCATGCAAGAGTTGTCTCAGAAGTAGTGAATGCTTTCACCTGAAGAATGAGAGGCTTACCTAGGCCAGAGAGGGGCAGTGGAGGAACACGTTTAAGGTGACAGCAATGCAAAAGCCTGGGTTGAGGGGATCAGAGTGTTTGAAGAGGCCAGGCCCAGTGAGGGAGTGTGCATGTGTGGTGTGGAGCAGGACGTAGTGAGATGAGCATTTTGCCCCTTGCTTAGTGTTCAGCTAATACTTCTGGGAAAAGTGTATAAATGGGATCCTACCACACAGGACCTCTCTCCCCTCTTCTCTAATCATGTAGTCCTCAGTCTGCACTGGGTTAGAACCTTAGTATTGACCAAGCTCATGCTGTCCCTTTTCTCTTGATAGACTCTGGTCTGCCATCAAAATCTCCTGGGCTGGCTCCTGCTTAGCATAGTTTGTGCCAATCTCTCCTTTAATGGTTGGTTCTGAGGCTACCTAAGGCAGTAGCCAACTGAAGAAACCACTAAAGGACCCAGGCAGGGCTTGGGAAGAAAAGCAGACTCTGGCTCTTTCTCTTAGCTCTTCCTCTGCAGTTAGCTCAGTTTCAGCTGTGGGAGCCAGGGTGTCCCAGGAACATCCCAGGCTATCTTGTGAACTTGGATGACTCTAGTTCAGCTGCTTAGAAAGCCACACACACACATACACACACACGAGTTTCACGGTCAGAAGCAGGACCGACCATGTGTGAAATTTAAAACAGCTGACACTAGCAATGAGCCGATACTATGTCAGAGCTGCAAGTCCAAGCTCTAACCCCCTTTCCGGAGGGAATTCATGAGCTTAAAGTGGCTCATGGCGGCCTTTCCTTTGCCCTAGGGATCAGTGCTCATTCTCATCTTTTTGTTGCATATTTTAGCAGTCTCTTCAACTTGATGTCCCTTTGATGCTGCAGTTGGAGACACGGAGGCATGGGGAAAGCCCTGGGTGCAGCTAAATGAGTACAGTTGAGCTAGAGTGCAAGTTCAGTCTCCAACTCTGCAGGGACGACTCCAGCCTCACTGTCACTCTTCATTTGCTGTTCCTCTTCGTCCTAATTCCCTAGACACTGATGAGGCACCTCTGTGAATAAGCAAATGGGTCCCAAACAAGAGGCCTCTCTGTTGTCTGCCCTTCTGTATGATACTCTGCTTGTCAATATTCTTATGGGTTTTGCGGCTTTGCTCCAGTCTCCTCATTTATTAGGAAAGCTTTGAGCCCGAGGTGGGCTGGGACCCAAATGGGGTGACAAGTGCAAAGTGCTTTCTTCTTCCACCCTGCAAATAAGAGGCACAGGGTAGTACTGTGGGGCTGTGGTTGAGGGACACTGCCTTCCCACATGCCTTCCATCTAGACTGGGCATTTTAGGTAGGTCACCATGGAGGCCCAGGGCCCTTCAACTCTCCAGATAGTGGGACTATATCTTAGCTCCTTGATACACTATGATCATGGTGTATGGGGCTGGGAGCAGTGAGAGGAGAGTCTCTAGGATGAAGATGAATCCTTGGAGGGGGGAAGGGATCTCTCCTGGCCCAAGGCTTTTGCAGGAAATCAGGCCCTTGCCTTGTCTTTTCTTGAGGACAAAGGTTGTAACCTTTGGGAGTCACTCTTGTCTCCTGCTTACTACTCCTCAGTGAACTCTGGATTGTATTCCTGTCTCATTTTCTGTGTACTCGTGCCGTGTCATATGAAGTCTGCTAACTGAGGAGAAACTCCTCCTTAGCATGGCCAATTTCTAGACAGCAAGAGCTTTGTTGCCAGTGAACATGCCTTGCATGTGGGAACCAATAACAGATAAAGCTCCATCCCCAGCTACCTAATGCCACAGTGCTCACATTCTCTAATCATCCATGACCCTGTACCAGGCAGCCAAGACAGTTCCAGAGCCCACTGACATACACAAGTCAGGCCTCTGGCCCTGTACCACCTGTTCTTCCTGTGGAGACCAAGGGAGGCTGAAGCCAGCTTTCTCTCTCTGCCTGAGGGATCCCTGCTTTTGCAGGTAGTCCCCAGGGCATAGGGCTTCCTTCTCCTAGGAGTTGATCTCCAAGTACAGTGAACATTGCCATGTTGGGACAATAATAAAAACTGTATTTCAAAATCTGTACCTAATTTTCTTGAGGAGGGGTTGTTGGTTTATCTACCCCAAGTATAAGTTCATGGTTCCTATCTCCCACACCCCAGGTCCCAGGAGCTTGACAGAACAGCAGTAACTGGGAATTCAGAGACGACTTAGCTGTTGCATGGTAGACAGGTCCCAGCCTCTTCCCATGCATCAAGTTCTATAGCTGGACATGGGGAGTGTGTGTTCACCCAGCCCAAAGCACTGAGGTGTGACATAGGCTCCTATACATCTGTCATGATGGGAACCTCAGGCCCATGAGCATCTCATATGGTAAAGTTATGAAGAGTCTGGGATCTAGCATGTCCCCTTTGTGATTCAGGCAAACCATTTACTAATCTGGCTCTAGTTTCTTGGTTATGCAAGGAAGGGGTGGGACCCAATGATCCATGAAGCCTTTCTGGGCTCAGCCTCATATTCTGTCGTTTTAACCAGCTCAGTTTTCCAAGGAAGCCTCAAGAAGTTGGGTATGTGTCAGGGACAAGAGGAGATACCACCCCACCTTCCATAGGTCTATCTCAGTCTCACCAATTCCCCAAACGTCATAGCATAATGGCAGCAATTCATAGGAAAAGTAACAGCCATTGCAGTATCTTCTGGACTATAATGATAAATACAATGGCATTCATAAATCACTGGCTGAAAGAGTGAGACAGTGCTGCTGGAATAAACTGAGAACTTTCCAAGAATGCATCAGATATTCTGTCCTCATCAAAGTGGGGAAACATCTTTAAAAATCATAGAAATCCACAGTTTAAAAGGATAAAACTGCATGGCTAGGCAGAGGAGTAAAGCAAGAAGCTTGTGATCATCTGGCTAACAGGTCAGAATTCTCTGTCTGCAGTGGCTGACATTTATCAAGTATCAACCCACATTGGCCATGGTCTGTTCTGACTGCAAAGCAAGTCTTGCTGCCATTTACAGCAGAGGAGTACAGGATCACAGAAATTACATAACTTGATCAGGGTCATACAGCTCATAGATGATAGTCTTGCCTCCAATCCAGAAATTCCTGAGTATAGAGGCACAATTTTTTCTACCCCTACAGTCTCACTGAGCCTTGAAGTGAACATTGTCATAAGCAGGAGCCCTTTCCTGTTGCCCAGAAGTTAGCACTTTTATACCCTCACCGTATCACCTTCTGAAATTATACTGCCATTATTAAAGTCCTTGAGAGGCATAGGTATTTGGGACCATGGTTACAGGTTCAAGTCTTGAGCCATCTGTTGTGCCTAGTAATCAGGTGTCCCTACAACTTACTCCTAGCTCCTGGCCTTGTAAGACATGGGCAGAGAGTAATGGTTATCAAAGCCAGGGCAGACCAAAGGTTACTCACATTGACAGATTCTTTGCCATTAAACTTGACTCGAATCCTTGGTTCCTGAATGACATCCAAGTTGAATCCCGTGATGGTTAGGAGTGTGTGGCCACTGGGAACAAGCAGAGGTTAGGTTAGGTTTGGTAAAACCCCTTTAAACTGGCATAGTGAACCTCAACTACTGGGGTCCTTGAAACAAGTTACCCTTGCAATGTAGGGCTCCTGTCCTTTGTCAGCTGGATGCACATGGCTGACCTCACCCTCTTTAAGATGCATTCCCATCAGCCTCATCTTCTAACGATGCATTCTGCCAACCTCACCATCCTCCAGGTGTATTCCCCCAACTTCACATACCTGGTGATGCTCCATTCTGGCTCAATGCGCTGGACCCGAGGGTCATCTATGTACTCAAACTGTAGGCTGCTATCCACCCGGGCTCTGTCGACACTCACAGAAACAGGGACTGGGCCCAGCCCATTGGATGATGGGGGTGATACACACACTATCTCATTCATTGACCTCCTGATGGGGCAACATAAGAGGGTTAAGATACAAGGGATGGACAATAGAGGCCAGTAGGTTTGAAAGACATGTCCCATGTATGGCTTGAGACACATTCTTCTGTTTTCTTATTCTCTGTGTTATGGCACACACCCTTCAGTGTCTATGTGTCTGCTTTTTATCCCACTTGGATTAGAGTGCAAGCACAGTGGAAAGATTGCTTAGTGAACATGGGGCAGGGACAAGATTCCATGGGCTTTGTGAGAACTTTTCTTGATTTTATTAGAATATGACTAATCAGAACTTAGGATCTAGTAAGGTTGTTAATACATATTCACCTAATTCATGCTCTGTGTCATACAACCATACAGGGCTTACTCTTGTAGAGTTTATAGTACAAGGCTCTCAAGTGAGTAATACTGGGCTAACAGGCCTCACCCATGGATTGCTTCAGAAGCTTCCTGGGAGTCTCTTCGGGGCTCATTGGTGTGGCTGACAATATTAGGTGCTCTTTTTTTTTTTTTTTTTTTTTTTTTTATGCCCAGGAAAGGTCCTGGGCATAAATTTTTGTACTTCAACTACTGAGATCACCATGATTCTCATGTCCCCGCAGTGGACTTGAATGCTATTGCTTATGAGGCTGGAGATCATTCCTCATCTGGTGTTTGCACAGATCCTGCCTCCAGTTCTCTTTAGATGCCACAAAACCCTCTGATTTATGAGACAAAAACTGACAAGTGGGGTATGCATTTCTGACAATGGCTGACATGGTGTTTGGGTACAGGAGAGGGAAATGACAAGAAGACGACAGGCAGGCATAGGCAGTGACACAGGCCTACAGGTTATCCTTACCCATAGAACTCGCAGGTCTGGTTGCCCAAATACACTACCACACTGCTCCCAGAGCCAAGGTAATGGCCCATGATGGTCACCATGGTGCCTCCTGACTCTGGTCCCCGGATGGGACTGAGTGACAGCACAGAAGGGTTCTTTGAAAAGAAGCAGAGAAACACAGCTTAGGTCCAGGGATAGGGATAATGGGAGAATAAGGGATGATCTTTGTGCTGGGAAGTAAGGTACTTTCCCTGCCCTTTGCAGTTCCAAACACGGCTTTCTCTTGAGGGTCTGTCCAGGGAAGGCGAAGGGCCATGCACTGGAATTAATTAACTCCTCTGGAAGTCTGTACTCATAACACTAAAGGGGAAGCTGACACGACACTGACTAATCTATCAATTAGTTTGCAAATTGAGAACAATTTGAAAATGTACCTCTTTCTGGAGTCTGTCCTGATTTTTTTGGCACAAAATCAATAGGGCTGAATAAAATGTCCTTGCCTAGGCTGGGCAGCTGACAGACTGCAGCCTTTGTGAGTGGTCCATGCACATGCCCTCTTGTCCTGCTCTAAGCACCTCAGCTCTTGGTGTAGGCAGTATATGTTACATATAGCTTCTCTGACCCTTACTAGTTGATAACAGGATGACCGGGACTTGCTGGTGCACCCACTGAGCAGTAACATTAAGCTAAAGCTTAAAAGAATCATCTAGCCTATGATACACCAAGCAGTTGAGTTAGGTCAGAAAGAATTATTCCTGCCTGGTGGCCAGTGATGTGGAAAAGTGCATTTTTTGTTATTTTGTTAGATAGGGTCTCATTGCATAGCTCAGGCTGGCCTTGAGTATGAGACCCTCCTACCACAACTTCCTTGAGTGCTAGGATCACAGACATGTGCCACCACACATGGCTTAGAAAGTACATTTAACTGAGTAGTTACACAGGAGTGGATTTATTCTGTATCAGCGTTTTACTAGCTGTGGCCCTGAGGTGGGTCCTGGGATCATTCTGGACTTCTGTTTGTTCCTTCGTTAAGTGTGGAGGGTATGGTGGGCTATCCCTAGAGCCCCTCCCAGCTCTGAAATCTACAATTCTCTCCCTATCTCATCTTTTCTCTTTATCTCCCATGGAGAGAAGATGGAGTTCATTGGCTGCAAACAGGCCAATGTGAGAGGGAAAAGTGCAAAGCGAGAGGCAGCAAAGCCGAAGTAGGAACCTAGGTCCAGACCCTAAAGTATGCAGTAAGTGCTTTCAAGAGAAGGAAATTTTGTAGCCTAATGATTTTTCAAAACTCTTAGCAAGGCTGATCTGAGCCTATCCACTGGTGCTATCACTCTTTAACGAGGTATTCAATGTTGTGATGTAGGTAAGTATTAGAAAAGGGACTTCAGAGCCCCAAAGCAAGGTATTGATTCAGGATGAATTAAGCTTAGGCAGACTCTGGGCCTTGGAAGTGAGTTACTGATTTGGGGAGAATTCAGTGCCAGCACCACAGAAAGCCTTTGTGTAGAAAGCACTTGTTGTCTGAGCATGAAGAGCTGTCTTTGGACATGGACTTACATGTACATGTAAGCATAATAACATAGAACTACCTGCTCATATGTCCCTTTTCCTGGTCTTATGCACAGAGGTACATATCTGCCAGATGTCAGTGACTCTTCTAAACCCACACTCAAAATGCCCTTATCAGAAAGCAAAGCATGTGGATAAATACAGACCACTTAATTAGGTCCTTCTGCGATATGTCCTTATTAGGCTGGAATTAGACCACAATGTCACACTGTAAGCACAAAGGGCAGCCTATTCTCCCCTGTCTAGGATCCACTTTCTAAGAAAGGCTTCAAATTTTGCCTTATCTAGAACTCTGACCTATGGTCCTCTGGTCCATAGCATTGTTGGTCATGTGGCCATTTAGTCCCAGAAAGACAGACTTGCAAGTATGGAGGCCAGAAGTTCTCTTTGCTGGTTCTGTGATCTGTCTGTCTGGGAGGGGCATGTGGGGATTTCTTAGAAATCTGTGACAGATGTATGTCTTTGCTGGTCACCAGTACTTACCACAAAAGTGTACTGCTGATGGGACTTGGTCATGAACTCCGGCTTGCACTCCCCGATGCATAGGCGCACAGGCCCAGATGTGGTACCCACGAGGGCATGGCCCATCTCGCAGACAATCCTGAGGAGACAGCGACCTTCCTGTGAGAGGCTTGGCAAGGCTGCTGTCCATGCCTACTTGCTCAGCAGTGAGTGAGTGACTCCTCACTATCTTGCTAAAGAGCTTGGACCATGGATCAGCTTGATACCTATGTGTGACTTTGGGTACAGTGCTGGCCTCTCTGGGCTTTGTCTCATCTGTAGTACAGTAAGGGGTTGAATGTGATCATACATTACAAAGCCTCTGATATATCATGCTGCATAATTCTGTCATCAAGCTTGTGACTGCCTGGTGCAGTGTCTAGCTGTGGGTCATTTCTGGGATTTGTGGAATGAGTGGACGGTCCAACAGCAACCAAGGGGCAGCACTTGGTTGGTGTTCTCTGCTATTTGGCAAGCCATCACGGCAGCCTTCCCTAAGAATATAGGTAAGTGCTTATTTGCCAAGCTGATTCAGTTGTGGTCTGTTTCCTGTGGTGAGCCTTCAAAAGAGGTTAGATAATCTGATGAGATAGTATGAGATCCAAACAGTATTCCCCAGCACAGTGGCAGCAGTGTAGGCCCATGGAGGTGGGTAAAAGGTTGGCAGTGGCTGAGTTCATTAGGTGCCAGGTGACATGAACTCCCACTTAATCAAGATTGAGTACACTCAGTGGGTGACATGGCCCTGCTTGGAAGTCCTATCTCCCACTGGCAGGCACGCTGGAGGGAGATGCTTTGCACTCTCTCAGAAGACCAGATCAATACCCCCTGGTGACTTCCCTGGCTCCTCAGATAAGTCACAGAAGCACATTTAGACAATGGTCCCCTTAGCTACCATGCCTCACAGAAAGGGTGGGCTGTGGGGGATGGGTGGGACTGAGGAAACTAGGCTCTTGGGGTCCTTCTCTGGAATTTCTGGGCCTGAGGGAGATGGGAGAGGGTCTCAGCAGCCTCAGCAAATAGGAGGCTGGGAAGGGAGAAAGGAAGGTTATCCTTGTCTCCCAAGGTAGGCTTGCTTAGTGGGGAGTCAGAAAAGCAGACCCCCCCACTAATCCTCTGTATTATCCTGGCACAGTGGGAAGATCTGTGTTTAACCGGGTGATGCTTATCTGAGCAGCTTCTCTAGGAAGGAAGGTAACTAAACAGAGATTTCATTTTGATGTAATAAAACTTGCATTAAACAAATATGCCACATGCTCATACATGTGGTGTACTGCTGGTCTCCATCTCCTTCATAACAGTTAATCCCAAATAAGTACTTTCACTCCTGGTGAATATTTACTTAACACGCAATAACTGTCTTATTACATTTAGCATATTAGATGCAACAAGAAAGCACTTCATGGAAGAATATTCTCCCTTTTTCTGTGACTAGATAAATTATGAACCTACATAAGCATGATAATAATAATCAATTAGTGTTTGACACATAGCCCTTTCCTTAAACCTCATTAGTGAAGCATCTGAGAAGCTTAATCTATGGTGCTGTGTTTGGTTATTTGCATGCTGCCACCTGACTGGAGTAACCGCTCTCATATCCTGTCTCCTAGGTGCTGGCCTCCTCTTGTTTAGGGCCCCCTGCTTCTCTACAGCCTATCCTCTGCACCCTAAAAGAACCTGGAAGAGTCAGTAAATTCTTGTGGGTGGTGAGTGTGAGGGATGGGAAGCAGATAAGCCTTTCTTTGCCTTCTAATCAGGGCTGGGTCTTTCCTCATTCCTGGCCAGTGGATACTGTGCGGGAGAGATCCTATACAAGAAAGGGAGGAAGAATCTTGGCAGGCATGAAGTTGTGGAAAAAGGAAACTGGAGGACACATGAAGGGCACAGGTGAGATTGAACTATTCCTGGGCTTGTCTCAGAAAGGAGAAGGTTTGGTCTGACCTGTTCAACTGTCCATGGAGGGGTCAGTGATGGGCCAAGGCCTCTTAGCACACCGTCTTGCCTAGGTCCTAGACATTGCTTGGGGTTCATGTTCCAAAACCTTTATGCATGGAGCACCTGGGAGAAGAGTGATGAACGATGACGGAGCCAACTGGATATTAGAGCTGAGCATAAGCAGTTCGTTCTGAATGCCCTGACAAAATAGGCCTAAGCATGATGTCTTCCTCAAATTTCAGCTGAGCCCTCTCCCACCTGTGTGGTATGAGTCGGGAGAGGGTTGGTGATAGTGGTAGGCCACGGACAAGTAGTATGGGCAGGTCTAAGAAGTTGAACTGGAGTCTTCAGGTAATCAAGTTGTACTGTGGGTGAAATGGAGCCCTATCTTATTCTTATCTTTTATTCCTTGGGCCTCAGTGCTGTATGACAGGATGGAAAGGCCTTGAGTGTTCATTGCCTTATCATAGGTCAGGGAGATGAGTTACAGAAGAAGTAGGGGTGCTGTGGCAGTGGGAAGGGGTACATAGAATGAGGCTCGTGCCATAGCAGCATCTATCCCTTAATAACAAGGTTTGCGGCTACTGATAGCAGACACACCCATGAGATAGGACCCCATACTACGCTCATCCTCTGCTCCAGAAAGGGTCTTATCTCCAACTTATAGACAGCTAGAATTCAGGGATGCCACATGGTTTATTCCAGCAAGTGGCAGAGCTCTGACTGAATACAGGCTTACTCCTAAACTAGTGCTTTTGATGACTTCATTCTGTGGACACTGGATTATCATTATCATTATCATTATTTTGGGATGAAGTCTCACTATGTTGCCCAGGCTGGTCTCTAATTCCTGTGTTCAAGCACTGTGCCAGCCTCAGCCTCTTGAGTAGCTGGGATTACACATATGTGTCATCACACCTGTCTCTGACATTGGATTTAATAGAAAGCTCTGGACACTCTGAGGGAGGGGCAGCACAGACATAGCAGTAGTGACAGAGGATCCTGCAGATGTGGTGGAGACCCCCCCACACTGGTTTCCTAGGACTCTGAGGGCTAAACCACTTGCTCTCCCATCTTGTAGGCCGTGAAAGACCTCAGGTGGGATGGTGCATACCACCTCCTCTCCTAGGCCTCACTTGATTTGGGGGTTCTGGGAGCCCCTCCCCATTTCTGTGTCGCCTGTGTGCCTGGTGACTCTGAGGATCCCTACATACTCCTAGGAGTTAGTCACTGGAGATGCCTAAATTTCCTCCTTATAAAATGAGGAATGAGGACAAACAACTGTCCAGTTTCCATTTGAGGATTCGGCTTTCCAGTGGGGGTGTTTCAGACTCCATGGGACATACCACTTTAGTCTCTTGAGGACCACTGAGGGGACTGTAGAGATCACTTCTTCCTACTTTCTACATCAGACATTGCTCAAAGTTATTCACTTCATCAGGAACTGAGCTGAGGCTTGACCTCCAGGCTTCTGGTACCAGCTCAGTTTCCTCATCACCCCATACCACACCAGTTCTCGCAAATATGCATAAGTGGTAGTTTGTTCCCTGAGGGGGAAGCACAGTGATCTAGCACCCATCCAGCTGTGTAGATGTAGATGAGGGAGGGCAGATGAACATGAGCCCTTGTTCCCAGCAAGGCTGAATTGCAATCTCTACCTGCATCCTAGTGCCCAGAAAATGTCCTATGACTGAATCATCCTGCCCCGCACAGACCCATGGGGTGCTGATGGTAGGACTAAGTGGGCCTTTTAACCAATATTAACCTAATTGTGGAGTGATACATGGCAAAGCACAAGCATATGGTGAATCATTACTATACCCGCTAATCCTGCCTGTGCCCAGGATTCTGCACTGAGCCCGGTTAGCTAAATTCATCTCTTGCAGACATCTGTAATGATTGTGCCTGCTGCTGGCTGCCCGGGATGGAGTCTTAATGATGTTAACAAACTCTGAAATCTTGGGAGTGGTAATGAGCCTGGCATGGCTGGAAACCAGCCTGCATCTAGCAAGGCATGGGGTGTTTGCCTCCTCCTGCCTACCCTAGACCTGAGACCAGGATGGGGGCAGCTTTCAAGGGTCACCGTCAGCCTCAACGGGGCCTGAGATGACTATTTACTTCCTCAGAATCCTTTCCCAACCTCACTTCTGGTTCATCTGGGCACTTTCTTCCCCACAGCTCTGGGTAAGAGCAGTACACTTGACTTCACAAATAGAAGAAAGTTTCTTTCATTGTACAGTCCATTAAAGTCATAGACTAAACGGGCTTGTTGAGGTTGCAAGGGTGGTTAGCAGAGGAGACAGGTTAAAACAGTTCAATTCCAACCCCATGTAATTTTGAGGTCTGGCTACCTGGGAGCTTGTACTTCTCAGTCTAAAGTCTAAGTCCTCCTGGTCTCCCAAGTTGGACCAGAGTAAGTTCTGGAGGCCCAGGTGAATTTGAGGTTGGATGACTGAGTGGTGGGGCACTCTTTGTAGGTGGTCCTGGTTCCCACAGCGATCACCTTATCTTATGGCTCCCCAGAAATACTTATGTCCCTCTCTCCCTTTTCTGGTGGTCTTTCTACAGGCTCAGCCATCATTCTTTCAAGGCTCACTCTCAATAGGGATAAGGTTGTCAATGAAGAACCAGACTTCCTTCCTGTCTATGGCTAGTGGCCCTCACACAACCTTGGGAGTCTCAGAGTTCAACCCTCCTGCCTCTTGAACCATACTGGAATCAAAGTTTAAGGTTCAAAGCCAGGGGTGATGAGTCATAGGGTGCCCAGGCCTCTCTTGACTAGGAGTATTGTCCTGTGGCTGTTGTATCAGGGACACAGGCCTATACTAGTGGTCAAGAGGCTTAAGTGTTGATTCTGCAATGGTGATTATTCCCTAAGAGACTAGGGAAAGTCGTCTTACTTCTCCCATTCTTTTGCTCTTGCTAGATTTTACAATAATTTACTTGTCAGGGTCAGAGGAATTAAAAAGGAGAGAGTAGAGGGGAGAGAGTTCTGTTAACTGAAAACTGCTGATAGAAAATAAAGTGATGTCTTTTTTATGGTTGCTACTGAGGACTAGCTCTCAAGAGGTCAGAGGGGCCCGAGGTGACAGAGGAACAGGGTGAAGGAGGGAAGTCCCTGCCCCAAAGTCAAGCTCTTGTCAGTTCCTACATACACCACAAAGAGCTAACACTCAGTGGATTCAGGATAGCTTGACCCAAAGTCACATGACAAGCCATGGAGAATGATCTGATGGCTCCCCTCCCTCCTCCCTCTATTCTTCTGCCTCCAGTTTCTGGCCCACCTCCTGTCCACCAACTTACAAACTGTGGCCTCCACTGTCAAGGGATCACCCCACATTGGTACATATGTCACTCCTAAGCCTGCTTGCCTGCCTGCCACTACATGCCTATTTTCTAATTTCCAGCTGACATTTCCCTTAGTGAAATAAATGAATCTGCTCCAACAGAGACCCTGCTTGGATTAAGCTGCTGTCAGAGCCCCATGCACCAAACAAATTGTTGCCCGCAGCCCACCATGTGGCACGCATTCCAATGGGGGCTGGCAGGAGGGGCTGGGAGTTCTTGGAGGGGCCTCTAGCAGCTACTCTGACAGGCAGGCAGAAACTGACTGGGGGCAGCACTGGCACCTTGAGCCCTGATTCCTGAGGAGCCTGGGAACAAAGCCCCTCTGAGGTCAGAGTACCCTAGAAAGAACATTTGGGAGCAGTTTCCTCAGAAGGAGGAGGTGATATGAGAGACCTGGGAAAGCCTCAGAGAAGGAAGTCAGGAACTCTCCATTTGGAAGCTCACAGGGACAAAGCCCTGCAGGGCGGACTCACTGCTCAGCGATGATGTATTCCCCCGGGAGGGGCGTGCAGGGCACCCCAGCCACCTGCACGTGGTGAGCGATCTCAGAGAAGTCCAGGCCTAGGTTCACACCGTGGATGGTCACACGTGTCCCTCCTTCAGGTGGTCCAGATACTGTCAAAATCTGAAGGAGGGAAGTGGGATTAGTCCCTGGGTTAGCCACAGGAATGGAAGAACAAGGCCCCTTTCCCTCCCCTGGAGCAGGTGCTTAGGGGCTTTGATTTCACCTGGAATCTGAATGAGCTTCATGTGTCTTCTATACTTTTCAGTTTGTCTAGAATTGTGGCATCACCTTCTACTTTATACTTCTCCCTTGGTTAAATCATTCATTCATCCATTCGCCCATCACTAATCCATCCATTTACTCAAAAACTTATCGGAAAAAATTCTGAACTCTCAGCAGAACACTACTACTTTAGGTGCATTTCTAATTCATTAGCTGCCTGTGACCAAGTCACATAATCTCTGTGAACTTCACTTCTTTTACTGTGAAGAGAATATTATCATGTCTATGAAGCTTGCAGGGAGTGTGGGAACCCCAAACAGTGCTCAGAGTTCTGTGTACCAGGAGGCTTTGAAACTGTGACAGTGTTGTTATTGCTACTCCTGTATGCTGGATCCTGTGGGTACCATGGTGAAGATTTTCCTTCAGGGAACTTATAGTCAGGGAGGAGGTGATAACAAAGGCTCATAAATAGTGCTAGTTTTGGGTCTGTGGTGATCAGATAGATACAGAGGAAGCAGGGGGAACTTGGAGCAGGCAGGGATTAAATATGGCTATAGCGGAGCATCAAAGACCCAGAGTGTGCTTGCTGTTATTTTTCAAAAAAAATCCTGTGACACATGTTAGATCGAGAAGAATAACTTTAGGATTTTGCAAATATTTTCTGGTTTTCTACTAGCAAGGATCATTTGTTGGTTCATTCCTTAATTCAGTCACCAAATGCTGATTATCTCATTTTGCTTTGACCCAACAGGGAAGGGATGGAAGAGCCAGAATGCCATAAACTTCTCTTGGAATAAGGCAGTTCTTTAGAATCCAGTGGATCCTACTGAATGAGTTCATGCTTTGTGGTCGGTGGTTATCTGAAAAAAGAAGTAACTGGCTAACCATAACTCTGAGAGAACTGAGTTCTAGGGAGCAAAGGAACTCAGAATTGCTGAGCTGGGTATAGGGGTGTCTCAAGGTACCGTATTCTAAGTCTCCTTTTACAGAGAGAAGAAGGAGACCTAGAGAAGGTAGAGATGCATCCAAGGCAACCTGTGCACACTGTAATAAAAAAGCCAGACTCGATTGAGACCAGGAGTCTGCTAAGATCCCACATTGACATCTCTGGGCAGAGCCACAGTCCCTGTGTCCTTCAATACTGGATAAGCTCTTAACACTGTACATGGTGGAGGGTCTGGAGCAGCAGTCAGCATGGATGAGAACAAGTAAAAGCACTGTCAAGGCCTACCCCTCTCTACTTGTCCCCTAAAGGGTACTTCTTCAGTGATGGGGATACCCTAAGTTCTGCCACCCTCTCAGACATGGACCCCCATGTCCTAGCCAGCAAGGAAGAAATGGGGCTGGTGTAGGAACAGCCCTCCCTCATCACTCTGGCTTAGTGTGATGGTTGCTAAGCCAGGATTGACTTGTCCTGCTGACCTCCCTCCCATTCCCGCAGGCCTTCAATGGTGCTGCTTCCTGACGTCTTGCCTGCAAGGCCCCAAGCACACTCATCTGGGACCCATTCCACCAGGTCACCTTGTGTGTGTCTTCAATTTCCTTTTCTTGAAATAAAATACCTCACCTTATGAATGAAACTAAATAAATGTAAGGAATGAATAGAGGGAGATGCCACAAAAGGGATTCGAAGGCACATCCATGTGTTTACAATGAAAGAAAGAAAGCCAACGTGGAGGAGAGAGAGCTGGCAGAGCAGCAAGAAGCCCCCGGGGTTCTTGTTTCTGGGAACTCTAAAGGTATTTAACAACAGTGAGCCCTGGTTGTTCTGCTCAGTTTTGGCAATGTTCCTGAGGCCAGGGGTGCCTGCCCTGGGGGATGGACCCTCACCACGAGGTGGGAAGAGGCTTCTACCTCTGCAGTTTTGCACCAATAGGGGAGAATGTGTTTCCAACCCCTGGCTCTGTTGGTGCCACTGAACTGAGTTTCCCCAGTGCTCTACCTACCCCTCTCAGCTACCTATGACAAGAACCACCTATCCAAGGGGACCGACAGAGCTGTGATGATTGGTTCCGTTCCTTGGTTCCTCTCTTGCTCCCACTTTTATTTTTAAAAATACATTCTTTTGCTCACTGCAGTTAATTACAACCTTTCAGAAAAACCGTGAAATGAAATCTTTCTGGAAAGACTAGAAATATTTCTGTCTTGCAGGTAGCACATGGTATCTGTACTGTGGATACTTGGTGGCTCTGGAAGGTTCCATAGCATCATCCTCTGTTGTTCAGACATGACAGCCATTTAATAAAACATAGAGGGTCAGAGTCAGATACATGATCACAGGATGTAGGGCCCATCTATTGGCACAAAGCTGCTTAGTAGTGAAAGTCAGCACAGAGAATAAGACTCTTGTTTTGGGTAAATTATTAGCAAGTGTTATAATCTTGGCATGAAGATATATGCCAAAGAGATGGATGAGTCCAGCTACTGGCTGCTGGCATGTGAATTGGGATCTTCCTGGATCACCAGACCAGGTCTGAAGGCTTTAACAGTGCTGGAAAAGCTCGATCTTCAGGAGAATCTTCTTTATGGGCTACATCCTAGGATGTCACCACTTGGAATAGATGAATCAAGAGTTCAGAGTAGAGAGTAAGCAATACACAGCCTTGGCGCTTAAAGGGACACACATCTCAGGGTTCCTTGCTTAAAGCAAACCTGATTTGTAAATGTCCAGATTTACAAAACAGATGAGATGGTGATCATCTGATTTGCAGGAGGGTTCCCAAGGCCTCCATTACTGATGACTTACAAATCGATCTTGTCAGCTCACACCTCTCTCCTCAGCTCCACAGCCATTTATCCAACTGGTACGGGACACCTCCACTTCCACCTGTACGTCCCTCAGGTGCCTCAAATTTCACAGTATCTAAAACTGAACTCTTAATTCTTCTTCCTCCCACCCCAAACCAATTATCCTCCCAGATTCTCTTTCAAGGTTAATGGAGTCACTACACACCCAGTCAGAAATCTTGTAATGGTTCCTTTTCCTTCACCCGCCATATGAAATTAACAATGTCACAGGTCCTATCTTACTCCCATATGAGAGTGGCTGCTAAGTAAGCTTCCTCCTCTCACTCTAACCACAAGGGTCTCCGTGCTCCTCCAATAACTTGGTACTTGGCTCATTATTGAGGTTAGGTCTCTCTAGATTCTGACCTACTTCATTTCTCCAGCTGCATCTTCTCTTTTGTAAGCATGACCTCTGTGTCCTACCAGAGATCACTGTTTCCCACATTAGATGCACTTTAAAAGTCTTTGTGTCTTTCAATGCATTTGCTTTTCCCAAGCTCAAAAGTCAAAGATGGTCAGGTTGGCAGTCTGTGCTCAGAGAAAAGCAACAGAGAAGGCATCCCATAGAAGACTGGCCTCCATCTGAGCCCTTCCAGATGGCTGAGAAAAGTACAGCAGCTATGATGTCTGCATGGTAGCCTGCGCTGCAAGAACCTGGTATCCATGTCCCCGCTCCTCCACAGAAACAAGTATCCAGTGCTCAGAGGGGAGGCTTAGTGGGAAAGACTTGTTCTTCAATGAAGGAGAGGACAGGACCCTCCAGGACCAGACCTCAGACTAGGCAACTGGATGGTCCCAGGTTCCTCTGCAATGAGAATGTTCCCTGAGTTTTCTTTTAGAAGTAATATGATAGTGGAGGGTGCCCGAGAAAGCACTGCACAAAGCCTTGATGCTCCCAGTAGCCAGTTCTGGCCTTTGTGTATGGGTCTGCAGAGGCAGGCTGCCTGACTGACCAGGTATTGCTTACAAAATCCCAGAAAAGGCCTTCCTGATCCATATGGAGCTGCGGGACTTTAAGAGAAGGTGAGAGGGAGGTTAGTGGAAAGGGGGAGTCATACTGAGGTGCCTATTGACAGAGAATGAGCTCAAATGTGCCTGGGACACTGGGTAGGCTTGGATAAATTGGCTTCTAGTTTCAGATGGCCCTTGTGCTTCTGACTGCTTTGGGGTAGGGAAATAAGACTTGGTACTCAGGCAGTGTCTGCAGCAAAAAGAGGGCAAGTAACTTCTGAGTCAGATGAACCTGAACTGGAAAGTAGTTCTGATACTCCTGCACTCTGTGACCTTGAATCTAATGTCCTCATCTAGAAACAGATAATCGTGCTGGCCTCATGGGAAGGATGCCAGTGACATAACGTTTGGAAAGTTCCTGTTTAGAGAACAGGTATTGATGATGACTAATTTCCGAACTTGTTCTTCCTTACATGCAGAACTTCCAGATGAGATGCACATGGGATGTGGGGACTGTTAAGAATTAAGAAAGTATGTGAATTTTCCTATTGATATGGAAGGAAAACTCTTGGATCAAAGAGTTCATGGCCAGATGCCAGGGTGACTGAGGTAGAAAGAGCATACAGGGCTGGTTGGAGACTACTTGAGAAGTTTCTGGCAGCTCAAGCTTGGTCAGGAAGTGGGTCATGCTAGGGATAGGGCCTTCTGAGTCCTGTACAGGAGCATATTTTGAACTGGACGTTACCCTTTCACCAACCACAAATTTGGAAGGACAGTGGTGCTGCCTAGAGAGGTTGGTCTTCATTCTTTCCTTTTTTCCTTCTAAAATTTTTTTATTTTATGTGTATGAATGTGTTGTCTGCATGTATGTAAGTGCACCAGTGTTGTGCAGTGTCCACGGAGGTCAGAAGAGGGCACTGGATCCCCTGGAACTGGAGTTACAGATGGTTGTTAGCTGCCATGTGGGTGCTGGGAATCAAACCAGGGTCCTCTGCAAGAGCAGCCAGTGCTGCTTAGTCATCTCTCCAACCCACCTTTTTCCTTCTTGATATTACGTCTTTCCCAGGTTACTAGACATTGGAGGCAGATGCAGTATCTTAAAATGAACTCAATGAATTCTTTCAGGAAGTAATTCTAAATAAGAGATCCACATGAACAAA